CCTCCGGCCACCCTCCCTGTCTTCCCAGGGCCAGTTCTCCGCTCCCTCCCCTCCCCCCGTCCACCTGGGGCCAATTCTCCTCCCAGCCCATCCCCTCAGCCTGCCTGGGGCCTGGTCTCTCTCCCCTCCCCCAGCCTCTTCCAATCACCCAGGGCCTGTTCTCTCTCCCGGGCACTATGGCCAAGGGCTGGAAGGTGGGCTGGGGGGCTACTTACGTGGTGTGCTCACAAGCAAGATGGCAGAGCCTCAGCCCTGCTGGCCACTCCTTTGGTGGTGCAGCTGCCCCTACTGGGCACTCTGCAGGGTAGCACTCTCCTGTGGCCTCGCTGCCTCCAGTGGCCTCTCTCATATCACCTCCCTCTGAAACAGCAGCCCCTCCCTTTGCATGTTATGGAAAACTGTCCCTTTCCTGGGGCTTCTGATTCTCCTGGCACATCCAATCCCTGACCTTGCTATACATTAGGAGAAGAGGAAGCTGCATACCAAATTTGGTGGTCCTACCTCTTTCCTAGCTCTTACCATTTAAGCGAGTTTGAACAAATAGACTCATAGACAGACAGATTCTAATACAGGCAGTCCCCGGGTTACGTACAAGATAGGGACTGTAGGTTTGTTCTTAAGTTGAATCTGTATGTAAGTCGGAACTGGCGTCCAGATTCAGCCGCTGCTGAAACTGATCAGCGGCTGATTCCAGGAAGCCTGGGGCAGAACAACTCTGCCTCGGGCTTCCTGTAGTCAGCGCTGGTCAGTTTAAGCAGCGGCTGACTTGGGGACAGTTGAATCTGTATGTAAGTCGGAACTGGCGTCCAGATTCAGCCGCTGCTGAAACTGATCAGCGGCTGATTCCAGGAAGCCTGGGGCAGAACAACTCTGCCTCGGGCTTCCTGTAGTCAGCGCTGGTCAGTTTAAGCAGCGGCTGACTTGGGGACAGTTGAATCTGTATGTAAGTCGGAACTGGCGTCCAGATTCAGCCGCTGCTGAAACTGATCAGCGGCTGATTCCAGGAAGCCTGGGGCAGAACAACTCTGCCTCGGGCTTCCTGTAGTCAGCGCTGGTCAGTTTAAGCAGCGGCTGACTTGGGGACAGTTGAATCTGTATGTAAGTCGGAACTGGCGTCCAGATTCAGCCGCTGCTGAAACTGATCAGCGGCTGATTCCAGGAAGCCTGGGGCAGAACAACTCTGCCTCGGGCTTCCTGTAGTCAGCGCTGGTCAGTTTAAGCAGCGGCTGACTTGGGGACAGTTGAATCTGTATGTAAGTCGGAACTGGCGTCCAGATTCAGCCGCTGCTGAAACTGATCAGCGGCTGATTCCAGGAAGCCTGGGGCAGAACAACTCTGCCTCGGGCTTCCTGTAGTCAGCGCTGGTCAGTTTAAGCAGCGGCTGACTTGGGGACAGTTGAATCTGTATGTAAGTCGGAACTGGCGTCCAGATTCAGCCGCTGCTGAAACTGATCAGCGGCTGATTCCAGGAAGCCTGGGGCAGAACAACTCTGCCTCGGGCTTCCTGTAGTCAGCGCTGGTCAGTTTAAGCAGCGGCTGACTTGGGGACAGTTGAATCTGTATGTAAGTCGGAACTGGCGTCCAGATTCAGCCGCTGCTGAAACTGACCACCAGTTCTGACTTACATACAGATTCAACTTAAGAACAAACCTACAGTCCCTATCTTGTACGTAACCCGGGGACTGCCTGTAGGTAGATAGATAAAAGGAAGCTGCATACAATATTTGGTGATTCTAGCTCTTATCATTTAGGGGGATTTCTTGTACAAACAGGATCACAGACAGACAGAGATGAACAAACTCCCCAACTATATAGTAGATTTGTATGTTGCTTGGGGGGGTGGGGATTGGATATATTGAAGTCTATTCTTAGCAGAGGTGAGTGTTCCACCGCTCCTTTTCCTAGGGCTAAATGTAATTTAGAGCAGACCCAGGACTGTTCTAACTAAGAGTGGCTCGAACAGTTACCTGGGTGGCCCAAGGAAGACCTTGGGGAGAAGGCCTTGGAGAGGGGGAGAATGTAAGAGGGTCTTGGCAAAGGGTCACCATGTTTGTCAGTTCAGATGTGATATTTTAAGTCTTTAAGTTTGAGATGTGATGCAGAAGAGAGAAAGCAGGGGTAGAAATCAGTGGTGGGAGAGAAGAGAAGTTGTGTTTTTGAGGTATTGAGTTCAAGCTGATGGCATTCAGGAAAAAAAGTGTCTGATGAGAGAGTGAACAGAGGATGAAAGCTTTGAGGAGAGAAAGAAGATTGGCAGAGATGGTAGCCGAAGCCCAACTCCTCAAAGGTATTTAGATACCTAACTCCCATTGATGTAGATCCTGAATACCTTTGAAGATCTAGGCCTGAAGCCCCCAAAACAGATGAGGTAATATGATGTAGATGGGGAAGAGGATGGAGGTCTCAGTGCTGTGGGTCACTGGCAGAGCATGAGAGGGAAAGGACATGGACCCAGCATGGGAGATACTGAATGAGGAATCTGAGGGTATGTCTACACAGCAATTAAACACCTGCAGCTAGCCTGCATCAAATGACTCAGGCTTACAGGGCTTGGGCTGTGGGACTTTAAAACTGCTAGGTAGACTGGGCTGGGGCCCAAGCTTTGGGATCCTCACACTGCGCCAACAGCAGTTTTTAGCCCTGCAGCCTAGGCCCTATGAGCTCAACTCAGCCATGCCATAGGCCTTTTATTGTAGCATAAACATACCCTCAGGCTACATCTACACTGCAGTCTTTTTGCGCAAGAACAAATGTTCTTGCGCAAAAACGTGCAGAGCGTCTACATTGCACGCGTGTTCTTGTGCATGTAAATTTACAGTACAGTGTCGGAAAAGAGGGCTTCTTGCGCAAGACCTCTGATGCTCTGAATGAGGCATAAGTCCTCTTGCACAAGTGCTCTTGCGCAAGAAGGCAGTGTGGACAGGCAGCAGGGGTTTCTTGCTTAAGAAACCCCTGTGGCTAAAATGGCCATCAGAGCTTTCTTGCGCAAGAAAGCATCTACACTGCCACGATGCTCTTGCGCAAAAACACATGGCAGTGTGGACGCGCTCTTGTGCCAGAACTTTTGCACAGAAACTCTTTTGTAAAACAGTTCGTGCACAAGAAGCCTACAGCGTAGATGTAGCCTGAGCAGCCAGTTTGAGAGGCCGGAGCAGTCACAAAAGCCTAAGGAAGAGTCAGAGCTAAAATGTATCTATCCTGTTCCCATTGTCTTCTCTCTCTGCAGATTTGCACGGTTCCTGGAATGCTGCTGCTGCTAAGGGTTGAAATATGAGCTTAAATTAAATAACACAACAGGACCTACCTTTTGCTGATGTGATTTTACCTGAGCAGCCAGTTTGAGAGGCCGGAGCAGTCACAAAAGCCTAAGGAAGAGTCAGAGCTAAAATGTATCTATCCTGTTCCCATTGTCTTCTCTCTCTGCAGATTTGCACGGTTCCTGGAATGCTGCTGCTGCTAAGGGTTGAAATATGAGCTTAAATTAAATAACACAACAGGACCTACCTTTTGCTGATGTGATTTTATTTGGG